TATGTAATCTTTACTAAAATTCACATACACCTTGCCACATATGTACAGCCATAGAGTACAATGGGATCTGAGATACGAGCTTGAAAATGAATGTGAAAGGTGAGATACGGCCAAAAACTTCTCTCGTCCAAGACACAAACAAACGGTATGCTTTGCGAGCCGCGGCTATATAATCGTATCAATTCTACTTACTAACGAAAAGCTCAATTTCATCCTTTACGAGCTGCTCGTCACGATAACGGTCCCTGTCATTAAAAGCCACCTGCTTTAGAAATTCTGCTTACTGAGTTAGCGTTCAGCTGCAATGATGTTGTAGCATGTCCATTCATCAGCCTTGCAAAATAATTTTTGTTAATCAGCTTTAAAGAGGATGCCAAACCAGATCTTTGCAAAAAAAAACACAGGTCTTTGCAAAAATTATTACTTATTATATATAAGGCATATAAATTCGCTGAGTTTTGGGTATAAAATTAAATTTAAAATAAAGCCAACTAATTTAGTTGTTCTTTGAAATACAAAATAATAAGCGAGCCTGTATAAACAAAGTATATTTGGTTGCTCAATGAATAGCTCAAGTGAAACATACTGTCAAGTATAATCCATCCAATGATCAATCTGGCAGCAGGAAAGGGTTACTTTACTATGGTTGGCTAAGATCTGAGTGACCTTGGATACTTACAAAAACATCCATTGTTTTAGAGAAGGATGAAGTAACTTATCGTTACTTCACTATTGGGTACTACCACCTCGACTTCTTAATTATTCGAGAAATCAGAGAGAAGCCAGTCATGTTGGATTGTCAGATCACTTGACATCCGACGTCAAGTGTTAGTACAGGAAATGCTACAAAGCGGTAAATAAACTTAGAAAAGACAGCGAGTATTATAAACCACAATAAACTTTATGAAATAAGATTACTACGAAGAGAGAAGGCAAAATAAGGCTTGCTGCCTTCGAAAAAGCAGGCTCATAGTTGATACGGTGTTAGGACATAAATAATTCGAAAAAAATCTTTAGCTAACAATCAAAATGATTTTGTTTTTCGTGTACGATTATAAAGTCATTTTACTGAGTAATCACAGTCGAATAAATGCTCGATCAACAAGCACATCAGTAACAGTTCAACTTTATATTGTGATCTGTTTCGTAGCTGCAGTTTGGTATAGTAGCTACCATGACAACGCGATTGTATCTGTCCTATAGCTACTTCAACTTCCGTCCTTGGAAATACGACCAATATAGAAATTAAATATGAGATGGTTTTACTTAGCGAAAACCACAAGTAAACCATATGTGTGATAGCAACAACACTAAAAACATTGAATTTATCAGATTGACAATGACTGAGTATTAAGAATAGAAATTGTGTTTTAAATCCTAGGTCTGTCTATCTGATTTTCTCGTCACATGCGCCCTGCTTCCGTGTTCTTTACGCGATTCATCAAACCATCAAACTCTCCAATATAGACTGTCTCACGTGAAAGGCACATTAACCTAAAATCGAGAGGCTTTTTAGGACATCCCAGAACGCTTGGATAGGCACTAGCGGCAAGAGAAAGAAATTAAAAGGGTAAACTGCTGGTAGATTGCTCTTTCGATAGTGGAGTCCGTCATTAATGCGAGTCAGGATCTTTAAAAGTTTAACCTTAGACTACTAAAAAGTTAGCCCGCCGTCCAGGGGGTAACTAATTCCCGAGATGGTCGCTGCACTAGCCTTCGTAGATTGTCGGTGAGGCAATGGTTGTTGTTTAAGACAAACTACCCCCACCATCTCCTTGTTTCCTTAGACCATAGGGTGGGCCTATGCTGGTTAAATCGAGGCCTGCAGAAACGACAGTAATAATGGACACAGGAGCAGTATTTAGGTTTTACGATCTCGGACTGCAACACAACGTAAGTAGGCGTAGGAGACGAACAGGTGATCATACATGGGAAAGCAGCGACCGCGAGTCCATGGAAAATATCTATATATCTAACGAGTTCGGAGCGTCCCCTAACCGCTGGATCCCCAGCCCGGAATAGCTTGCGCTGCCCAATCCTCGCTGGGGCGTTTCCCCATCTCCGAATTCGCTCTATTAGTGCCATTCTTGCTCCTGGTGCTGCTACTGCAACCACCGCTATATACCATGGTGGCGTATAGCACGATGCTACCTCTATTACATATAAGCTCGTACACCGAGTCATCGCTATCTTCTCACTGTTTTATCTTTCATTCTCTATAGGCGTGTTTCCTTCTCCCTCTCTTTTTTCTTGCGTCATACTTTGCTATACCGATACTCTCTGATCTCCACTCGCTTTGTCTCGGGGCCTGCCTGCTGAGTCGACTCGGCCCGCGAATCCTCGACGGGTTCATCTGTCTTCGCATTTTTTTCTTTGCCATCTTTGAGAGCAAAAGACTACACCTTGTCGCGGGTCGTTCGACCCATGCGCCTTTCATCCACAGGCCAAGCATCCACATGGCGGCGGGAGATATACAGACGTACGCTCCCAAACACCCCCGACATTCCTTGTGCTTGCTTAAGAAACACCACTACTACGTTACTGCTTTCGCAGTGGGTCAATTCTCACCCATCGGCTACGACGCCGATGGAAACGTTTCGCTAGGTCTGTTTAGACCTACGTAAGTTTCTGGGCTCCTGGTCCTACTACGTCGAAGCTGTTGCGTGCTCTGCTGCGCTTTCTAAGCCCGCTGCAACGCCTCCCCGCCCCGGCTGCGGCGTCCACGAGCGCTGTCGTCTTCGTCATTGCTCCTGGTGCTGTTGCTACTTCGTAAGGTGAAGGATCGGCCAATCTCTTGATCTCTCAGCCGGCTGACGCAGAGGCATCAGCCGTATTCGCTTTTGCTACCGCCATTTCTTCGAAGGAGCGGCCCCACTAGCACCAACTGTAGCAGCAAGCAGAATCCCATGCGACTTCGTTATGTGGCCAAGCCGGGCGTGGATAGTGTCTTCTCCTATCGCTTCACTTTTTTGCTGCTAACCTTGTAGACAGAACGGGCGGACGGGCCTTGATGTGACCTCCCGTAAGCCTTCCCCACATTCACCACGGACCTTCATACCTGGTGCAGGCCCTTAACGTCTCTCTACGTCTCAGCCAGGCACACTAGTATGATTACTTCGATCTTCAATGGTCCGAATGGCCAAATGCACTCTTCGAATTAACTGAGCATTGGGTGTTGAAGACAACAGCGTCACAGCCCACAAAAAGCGATAGGAATAGAGGAAGATATAGCAGCGAACGGATCGTCTCAACGTCGTTTTGTTTGACGGTGCGATCGACTGTCCGTCAGTGAAATTCATAGCATTTTAAAGAAAAAAAGAATGAGTAAGCAAACCTCCTGTCGAAGGTCCAACCTCTCCCCACCATTTGATCTCGCGATGGTTCTCTCAAGCCTCGTAGCACGTCTTATCACGCTGCGGGTGTTTATTGTCATAACCTATCGGCCATGGCCCCGACTCAATATCTATATGCAAAACAAATATTAACGATAACGGAAATATTCGCTATTGGTAAGCGGTTACCCCAAGCACGATTCACATGCCTTCATACTGTTGTTGCATATGGCGTGTGTATCGTTGGCTTTTGTCTTCGATCAACATTTGAGAATAGCGCATATTCTAGAATGGATACCTTCTGCAATCTTTGTTATCTGATAAAGCGCATGGATATCTGCAGCGTCATACAGTACCTAAATTGGACTTTTCCTTAAGCTTTATTTCTAATAAATAGAAAGAAATATGTTAACACATTTCTTTACGTGTACGAGAAATACCATGACCGGATGGTTATATCATTCCCACATATACCCACTATTCACAGTCATTATAATTTCAATGTCGAACCTGAAAAACTCACTAGCTACTTTCAAAGTAGTTCTGTTCTAATCCGTAAATAACTTCTTAATAGTAACCTGTGTCCACCCCTTATGTATAATAGGGTAATAGGTTATAAACCTGGTAAGGTTTATAACCTATTACCCTATCGGTTGCTCTCGGTTGCGCTGTATTACGCAGAATTTCAGCGGAATCAAATTTGGACTATTAGCAGGCCAAAACTCTCAGGAGCTTAAAACAGCCCAGAAGTCCTAAAAGTGCAAAGATCTGAAAAACACTAATCGTTTAAACTTATCTAAGCCACCCAATTAAATCATGTTTTTGTTTTCGAAATGGACGTGTAATTTCTTTATCGCGAATCCAGGCTTATTATACATGTTTTTAATTTGCCTTGATAAATTTTTAAGAAATCTAAATCCTATTGATAGTCTTTCGGTTTGTTTGATAGAAATTTTTCTCAGACTTCGTGAAAGTCGCAATAACGTGAGCTGTCGATTCCCGACAAAAAAGGTTTTGATTCTGCTGGGAGTCCGTTTAGCGCGAGCAGATTCGATAATAACTTATTTTTGTTCAAATGGTGGGATCGACGCATTGTTTTGTTTTATACAAAAAGTTTGTTTTTGTTATAAAGACTAAACTTTCGTATGTATCATGGATGACAAATAAATATCTGTCTGCTACGAAAAACAGCCCGCCAAAATGTGTGCTAATTTAGGTGCCGAATTCTGTACATCGAGTTAATCACGCCACAACGAGAAGAATTGCGGAAATTCGAAGCTAGCAAAGGTGACTCGAATTCGTAACATGCATCCAGTTTTCGTATACGGACCGTAAAGGCGTTCACTCTATCATCAACAAAACAAGGCTTCTCGTACAACCCTATTCGTGCTTGCAAAATATTGCATATATATTATGTCCTAGTACTAAATAAAACTAATCCCACTAGATGGGAAAATGTCAAGCTGTTGTCGACAGCACAAAACTTTAACCAATCGATATTTGAA